GCTGGTCCAAAATCAGGCCTTTAGGGCCTGTAACCCCAGAAGGTCGGGCCTTTAGGCCCTGGTGTGTCCCTCCGGCCCTAAGTCGGGTCCGGTAGGACCTGTGTGAATTGAAGATGTAACAAGTCAGCAGTAGACCCTGTTGACTTAGTCCCCTGTCGATGAAAGCAGGGTCAGATTCAAATACGTTTTGTTTGTTGATGGTGCTTGTGTGATCAGCCACATTGGGCCTGATCCCTTAGCTGATCACTTTGACTTGCATGTACATCACCTGTGCTTGAGGAAGAATTCGCTAAGTTTCGGGCAGATTCCATTTCTCAAACACCGCTGATAGACAGGCTGTTAATTGGACTGAATTCATCTTCTCTTAACGATGAATCACCCCCAAGATCGCTTTCAGTCTAACAAGAATTTCATTGTGAGTTTACATTGCATCCTTGTCTGACTACCCCCTTGTACTTCCTGTGAGTGGCATTCACTGTTCGATCACGTTCATGTTCTCACGCTGAACTGCACTCACTTTTTGGATGACATGTGTTGAGAGAAAGTATGATCAGTGCAGATCCTACTTAATATTCCCACACACAGTCCGGATTGACTGCTCTCACAGGTAGAAGTCAGATATCCTCTGTACTTCTTGATGGTTGCATACTTGCATTTCTAGTGTTATGAACCTTACCTGGAGAGCTATTGACTCCTGTATCCACTGGGCTCTGTCCCAACATTGCCCCAAAATGTTTGATCAGAGTGGAACTCTGTCTGTGACTACTCAGGTAGACCTACCCTACACATGATCCTCTGTCAATTAAAGCGTTATTGTTGAATATGGTCAGGCTTAGCCCCATATACAGATCTTGTCAGATCCTACCCTATACTTGGGAAGAATCTGAGTATCACGCTTGCAAACACACAGATCAGCAGTTGAGGAGTCTAACTGATACCCAGTCCTGACAGAAATTAATCAGATTTTCATAATTAATTATAGTTGCGGCGCACTGGCCCGGTGCGCGATGCGGTGCGGTGCGCCGTGCGGGATGCGCTCAGGGGCACCACATGCGCATGTGCGCGCGCGCGCGCACTGGGCGCACCATGCGCACAGCGCACCGAGATGCGGTGGTGCACAGGGCTGCGCACTGTGCGCGGTGCTGTTTTTTCTTTTTTTCTTTTTTTCTTTTTCTTTTTGTGTGTGTGTGTGTGTGTGTGTGCGTGTGCTGTCTCTTATACACATCTAGATGTGTATAAGAGACAGATGCGGTGCTGTGCGCCGTGCGGGATGCGCTCAGGGGCACCGCACGCACATTTTTTTTTTTTTTTTTTTTTTGTGTGTGTGTGTGTGTGTGTGTGTGTGTGTGTGTGTGTGTGTGTGTGTGTGTGTGAGAGAGAGAGAGAGAGAGAGAGAGAGAGAGAGAGAGAGAGAGAGAGAGAGAGAGAGAGGGATACGTGAGATTCAGGGCGGCCTCGCTCCACAACTCTCCACATGCACAAAAGAGAAAAAAAATGACGGTGTATCTTTTCCATGTTCGAGCAGAAGATTCATTCTCATTTTGCGCGTTTGGAGAGTAGTGCAGCGATGCCCTCATTCTCGTGTTGCACCCTCCACTACACGTGCTACCTTCTTCCCCCGAATACAACGTACGGTCATTCTAGCTGTATGTAGACTGAAAGATGCGTCAAATACAGCTATAATGACCGTACGTTGTATTCGGGGGAAGAAGGTAGGAAATCCAATGGACCGTTTCTTCAAGTTTCAACGGATTTCTGGGCACATGTAGTGGAGGGAGCCCAGCTCACCAAATGTGCAAAATGAGAATAAATCATCGGTTAGGACATGGGTAGATACACAGCCATATTTTGTGTCTTTTGTGCATGTGGTGAGTAGTCGAGCGAGACCCTATAACGGGCATCGAGCATGGGCCTCGCCCGACTACGCCTCGGGAGTCGAATCGCCAGATCTGCAAGTTAGGCAGGTGTACGAGTGTATCTTCCCGTATTCTAGAGGAAGATTCATTCTCATTTTGCACATTTGGTGAGTGGGGCTCTCTCCACTACGCGTGCCAGGAAATCGGACGAGCGGTTATAAGTTTCAGCAGATTTCGTGGCATGTGTAGTGGAGACACCCACTCACCAACGGTTTCAAGCTTCTGTCACTTTCTGACAGATTCTGCTTGGGTATAAAAGGTAAGTCTCTTTTTCTTTTTGCAAAAGCACTGAGTTCTTGTCGTTTTCGAAATAAACACTGCCACGTTTTGCCTCCTCCCGCTGCTGCGAGCCTCGGCCCCTCGCTGCCTCAAAAAAACAACTGCGCGGCCTCAAAAAAAAAATTCCTTTTTTCGTAACCCGGCGACGCGAAGTGCCTGCCGGCCTTGCAACCCCCACCCACAACTTTCGTTTTTTTTTTTTTTGTGACCCCCCGATTTCACAATGCGCCGCATGCCATGCGCGCGTCGTGCGCACTGTGCGGTGCGGCGCACGTGCGCGTTGCAGCGCATGGCAATGCGCCGCATGTATGGAATTAATGGATTACAGCAAAGTTGATTACTAGGCTAACACCCTTGCATTAGACTAGATGGTCCATGCTGTTAATCTAAACCTCGATCATCTGATTTTCAGGATGTTGTTAGCTATCTATAAGCTGATTACCAGGCTAGTACCCTTGCATTCAGCTAGCCAACACTCACTGATAATCTGAGCTACAACGCGTAGATTTTCAGAAGCTGATTGGTTGCCTAAAAGTTGATTACCTGGCTAATACCGTCGCATTCAACTAATCAATCTAATCTGATAGCCTCACCATAACCCTCTGAGATTCTGAGGTCCTTGCGTTCTCCACCACTATGGACATTTAGCGATCCTCTAGCTAATACCTCTCCGCCAATATGGCTGGTAGTTGGTTATGTACCTCGTGGGTCCTCGCTCCCCGGGAGGGTAAGAATGCAATAGATCGCAGTTTCCCAGTGGGGCTGTACACTAAGTGTTTGGCTTTGTAGTTTGTTTTCTTGTTTTGAGCCTTGCGGGTCTTGAACCCATGACCTGTAATTTGTATGTGTTTTGTTTGTTAGTTTTGAGTCCTATTGGATTTGATCCCTGCGCCTGTCACTAGTAGTCTCTCTTTGGTAGTCCTAGGCCATTCAGCCTTATTCTTTTGCCTTGTCATAGGTCTAGGCCTCCTTTTCCCCTGTTCCCATCTAAATACAGATAGGTCTTCGGTCGTTGCTTTGGGGAGGCCGTCGTAGGTCTAGCGGAGTGTCGAAGTAGCGGGCAGGAAAATTAGTTCGGGTCTTTTCATGTTTTGTTGGCTGGGGAACCTCTGCCCGTCCGTTGCTGGAGCGCTGCTGCTCTATTTTGGGCGAGGACATCTTCTTCCTCGAAGCCCAGCCATAGCTGGGGTTGGGAAATGAAGTTGAAGATCGCACTGCTGCTATTTTTGCAGCTCTGCATGAGAGCTTCCACAGGACTGTGTTGTTGGGTTTGGGTGCTGCCATCTTCCACTTGGCAGCCATATCTCTGTTCCTGCTCTCGAGGAACTTTGTCTTCTTCGAAGTGCTGGATCGGTTGTCTCCTTCTTCATCAGGACTTCCAGCGCTGCACTTCCGTGCGGGTGCTGAGCTGGCGCTGTTATCCTTAGGGTTGCTGGTTCAGATTGGCACGTTGTGATAGCCGTGGGGTTACTGCTGCTACGGCAGCCATAGCCAGGGTATGAGGTGGCAAGGAGGAAGAAGAAGACTCCTGCATACTTCGTTGAAGACTTGTTTCTGGTTGTTCGGGGTTGTTGTAAACGCGGTTGTGATTCTTGGAATAAGTACTCTGGATTGATTGGAGGAGGACGAGGGATTCCAGAATTGAAATTCATTTTCAATTCTCTGTGTATTTTGAGCTTCCGCTGTGCATATCTTCTCTCCGGTTTTGTGTGGATTTGCCTCCTTCGAGTCTACTCTGCAATTGCATGCGTGTATGGGAACGTGTGAATTCGTTGTGGATTGAAGTTCAATCGGGTACATACACATACCTGGTATTGGCGATGGTCTGCATTTGGGCGACGTCTTCATGTACTTCGGTGGCTGCTGACGTCAACAGTTGCATTGTCAATTCATAGGCAGATAGTAGCTGTGTTGGGGAGTAGTCTGGGCGCCGAGTGCCAAGTAGGGGGAAGGGCCTGGACTCTGATGTTGGTGATGACAAGAGTAAGCTCTCATTCACATTCGGTTTCAGTGTTTTGATTCTCCATTGGTGTAACATTGGTGCATTACTGCTTTCTGGACACTGTGAGACTTTCTGGCTTTCAATGTGATCGTGTAATCTGGATTCTGTCATCTTGCTATTGTTCATTTTCCCTTGCAAGTGGCTTATTTTTATTTTTTATTTTCAGAATTATAACCTATTTCGGGTTGACCATCAGCCAAAAGTTGTTTGGGTTGCAATTCTGCACGACATTTTTTCCAATTTTTTTTCCATTTTTTTTTTCGCGCTGGGACAGCCCAGGACCTTGACCAGGACTTTGCCAGGACCTGGCCAGGCCGGGCCACCCGGGCCAATCTGAGGCAACCCGGGCAGCCTGGTTGGTAACCCCGATATTTATCACATGATCATATTATAGTAAACTAAATTATATTAGTTTTCATAGTATATTAAGTTAATTGTACTAGTTGATACCACACCAATTTTGACGGATGTCCGTGTGCAAGGATGACACACTTAAATCGAGAAATGGTCCAAAGTTTTGTCATACCACTGCTAATGCGCAAAAAAGAAAAAAAGGGGAAAAAAAGGTACTAGTTGATACGAGCACAACACCCACATCATCCGGGTTTATCCTTTCCACCTTGCAAAGGCCTAAATTAATTTTTCCTATCTGTGGTGCAGGTATTGCATTGGAGAATGCAATTATGGAGGTAGAGTGACAGATGACCACGATCGCAAAACCCTCATGACTTTGATGGCGTTGTTCTATTGCCCGGCCATCCACAAGGAGACCTTCCAGCTCCCAGATGGGGACTACCTAACACTGCCAGATGATGAAGCGGGATATGAAGAGTACCTGCAGTACATCAGGTCTGCCTCCTCCATTTGCTGTTTCCTTTTCGTTGTTTTTAATAGATCTTTTTCGTGTTTGAACTTCAGAGTACTATTGAAATTTACTTCTATGTTTCTTTTTTTTCCTTTATCAAGACTAACCTGGGTTTCATATGATGCTTCTACGCGAGACCCTTTCCCCTCTTCGGCCCAGGGCCATGCGAGGAGCAGGGCTGGTGAGGCGCGCAGCGTTGCTCTTTCTTTTGGTCAGTTGCGTCGGCCTCTCTCGGCTGCTCCCTAGACGAGCGAAATGAGATGAATCTTCCGCTAGGACATGGGAATATATGACATATTTTTTGTCGCGGTCTACATGCAGAAAATACAAACAATATGGGGGTGTATCTTCCATGTTCTAGCGGAAGGGATTGGACTGCCACTCTAGACCCATCCATGGATCATATATCCAGATCCTCTGCAAGTCAACCGTCACAAGAGACGGTGCCTATCCAAAAGTTGATGATGTACCATAACCTGGTGGAACCATTACGCACACTGCAAACCGGGGGTAAAAGCCTTCACCTTGGTGAAGAAGAATTATGCCCACCACACCGCCTTCTCTTTCATTGATTATTTCCTGCTCTTGGGGACCCTTTTGGGAACAGCCAAAAGTGTGGAGATACTCTCTCGCACCATACCCAGGTATGGACCATAAACCTGTTGAACTCATGTTCAGTTTTGAGCAGTACATTAAGAAGGGCTCTAGCTTTTTCAAACTGAACAATTCCCTCCTATTGAGTCAGAGTCTCTCAGGCTTTGCAGGCGGGATTTCAGGTATTTTGGCAGAATTTGAGGGGAAGATACCTACCTAACCAGAATACGGGGGAGTGGTTTTAAGAAAGCTACCTCACAGTACAACAGACTATGTTCAAAATATCAAGGAAACTAGCGAACAATAGAAAGCAAAGGAAACAAGCTTTGGAGACAACTCTAAAAGATCACGGAGACAAACTTGATTGACAACCCATCCTCCCCTTTCTACACAGATATCTTTGAAAAGTCAAGAGAAGAACTAGCCTTGCGGAGATAGTGGGAGTTAAAGGGTCTGCAAATAAGAGCCTGAATGAATGAAAACGAGTTAAGTGAGTCAATGTCGAAAACACTTTTCCTCGAGAATAAAGGCAAACTCAAGGGCCAACTCAATTGAAGGTTTGAAGACTCTTTCAGACACACTGAAAAAACAACAGATATGAAAGGAATGTTGAACATAGCCAAGGAGTTACGGACTCAGCCAGGGCTCAATCCCTGGTCCTCGGGTCACCACCCGCCAGGCTGCTATTTCATTTTTGAGTCTCTGATCTCAGGTGCCTGACTAGTGGCGCCCTCTGCAGTTGGCGCCCGTTCTCAAATCCCTCTTCAGGCATTTTCAGATTTCAATACTTGGCGCCATCCGGCATTTTGGCGCCCAGGCTCAGACCTTCGATTTTCAGCTCAGTCCCGAGGCAAATTGCACTTCTGCCCTCGGGACTCAACTTGAGTCCGGTACTTAAGACCGGACTCGAGCTGAGTTTGTCATTCAGTTTTTGGCCTCAGTGCTTGTGCTTCAGTGTGACTTGCTGCGACATTGTGTTGAGAACCCAAGATTGCGACTTTGCGACTTTGCGACTCTGCGATTTTGCCACTTTGTGTCTGCGTCCGCCGAGTCGTGTCGAGTCCGTGTTGAGTCAAGTGAGTGTGTGTGTGTGCTCTCATGCCCTCCCTCTCTCTTCCCCGACCTCACTGCTCTGCCTCAGCCCCGTTGTCGGCCCGTGGGTCTCTGCCAAGCCCCCTTGGCGCCCACCCCTTTTTGCGTTTATCCGCTCATCCCTTAGTGCCAGCGGCTCATTCAAAGGCCAGCCTTTCGCCTCTACGGCTAGTGCTGACCCGTCCTAAGGCCCACCCCCCTTCTTTTTCTTTTTGGCGTCAACTAGCCTTGGTCTATCGTCCTTTGGATTTCGTGAAACTGAGCTAGCCGAAGACTAGCGGGCGGGGGACCCTCGCACCCGTGGTTGGCCTCGCCTGCCGGCTTGCTCTCGTTCGGTTGTTTAAGGAATCCGTCAGATGCTCCGGGAGAGAAGTGGTTGTGACCCGCTCGAAGCTAACCAGTTGCTCAGACATAATTGCCACGGTCAGCCCAAAAATCAACCTCAGAAATAAATGGCCTCGACCAGCCAAGCAATAGGCGCTTAGAAAGAAACACGTAGCTCCGATCAGCCCAGAGCCAGGCTCGGACCAGGTGGTCAGAAACAAACAACTTTGATCAGGCCGAAATAGGTGCTCAGAAGGAATTAAGTGTCAGCGATCAGCCCAAAGTCAATCTCAAACCGGTGCTCGAAAATAAGTGGCTTCGACGAGCCAAAGACAGATGCTCGAAAAGAAGTGAGGCTTGGACCAGCCCAGAACCAAGCTCAAGCCGGATGTTCAGAAACAAACAGATGCACGGAAGGAAGTGAGGGGCTTTGATCAGCCCGAAACCGAGCTCAAAACCATATGCTTAGAAATAGATGGCTTTGACGAGCCAAAAACAGAAGCTCAAAAGAAGCGAGTGGCTTTGGGCAGCCCAGAACCAAGCTCGAAAAACGTATCCTCAGAAATTGATGGCTTCGACGAGCCAAAAAAAGATGCTTGAAAGAAGTGAATGGCTTTGACCAGCCCAGAATCTAGCTCGTACCGGATGCTCGGAAGGGATTTAATGGCTTCGATCAGACAAACTCCTTTCTCCGTCTCTATTCTCCCTCACTCCCTCTCTCTCTTTCCTCCCCCCTTTCTCTCTTTCTCTTGCATTCTCTCTATAGCTCTCTCTCTCTGTCTTGCATTCTCACGCGCAGCTGCGGACGCAGCCTGCCGTTTCCCTTCGCCTGCGTGTGCCGAAGCCCTGCTGGCCCGCCGATTGGTCAGTTCCGCCTCCGCTGGTGATGTCGGTCGGTTCACCCCCCGGTCTTCGAGGACGAGCACCGAGCTCTGAACGAGCGCTATCCCTGTCTCTTATACACATCCTGGCCCGCCGATTGGTCAGTTCCGCCTCCGCTGGTGATGTCGGTCGGTTCACCCCCCGGTCTTCGAGGACGAGCACCGAGCTCTGAACGAGCGCTATCCCAGCAGCCTACTGCTCCCCTTCGGCTGCATGTATCGTGGTCCTACCGTTTCCGCCGGCTCGCCAGTTCAGTCTCTGATGGTGGTGCCAGTCGGCTTCTCCCGACGGTGATCAAGAGCTCCAAGCGAGCACTACCCCCTGCCCCTCCAGACGCCGGCGTGGTGCCGCGTTCCGGCGAGCCTTTCCCGTACGATCACCTACGAGCGATGTCGTTCCCTCCTTGCCGAGCTGCCGTTGCGAAATCCGACGCTCTCTTTCCCTCCCTCTTCTCGGCCCCGCTGCTTTTCCTTTTCTCCGTCTCTCTCTCTCTCTCTCTCTCTCTCTCTCTCTCTCTCTCTCTCTCTCTCTCTCTCTCTCTCTCT